CATGCAGGCGTTCCAGCCAGCGGGCGACCTGACCATCAGGTGTCTTGAAGCTCAGCATCCATGTCAGCGATGCTTGGTCGGTTCGAATAACAAACTTCCGGCCCAGTAGATAGTGGTGAAAATGGGTGATGGCTTTGATGATGGCCAGCAACTCCCGTCGAGTGGTGCAATAATTGCGTTCGGGCTTCGTGAAGACCTTGCTATAGTAAGCAATGACGCGTTCTTGTCCGTCCTGCTCTTGTGATAAAACTGCGCCAATTGCCGAGGCGCTGGCGTCGGTGTCAAGAATGAAGCGTCCAGTCTCCTTCGGATACGCAAGTGTTGGCGGAGACGTGAGGGCTGTTTTGAGCGTCTCAAACGCGCGCTGGCATTCCGAGGACCAGACGAACTTCGCTTTTTTCTCAGTCAGAGCATACAAAGGCTTGGCGATGTGCGCGAAATCGGAGACGAATCTTCGATAGTACGATGCCAGTCCAATGAAGCTCTGCACGTCCGTGGTGGATCTCGGGGTTGGCCAATCAACGAGAGCAGAGAGTTTCCGAGGGTCTGTGGAAACGCCATCCACCGAAATTATGTGGCCGAGGTATTCCACTTGCCTTGTAAACAGCGAACATTTCTTCGGTGTGAGCTTCAGGTTCGCATTTTGCAGGCGTGAAAAAACCAAGTTTAGATTCGCCAGATGGTCTGTGACTGTCTTGCCGAAGACGATGATGTCGTCAAGGTATACAAGGCAAATAGTGCCTATGAGCTCGTTCAAGACCGATTCCATTAGCCTCTGAAATGTAGCTGGAGCATTGCATAGTCCAAATGGCATTACTCTGAACTGATACGAGCCGATACCTGTGGTGAAGGCGGTCTTCTCGCGGTCTTCTGGTTGCACCGGGACCTGCCAATATCCGCTTTTGAGGTCGAGTGTCGAAAACCATGTGCACCCAGCGAGGGCATCCAAGATGTCATTAGTCCGAGGAAGTGGAAAAGAGTCTTTCTTAGTGACGTCGTTGAGTTTTCGATAGTCTATGCAAAATCGAGTTGTACCGTCCTTCTTTGTCACTAGCGTAACTGGTGATGACCAGGGGGAACATGCTGGTTCAATCACGCCTGTTGAAGCATTGTCTTCACCAAGTCGTCGACGTGAGACCTCTGTGTGAGAGGAATGCACCGAGGGGGTTGTCGAACGGGAGAAGCCTGTCCTGTCACAATCCGGTGTGTCGCCACCGATGTCAGCCCTATATCTGCGTCTTCCGTGCTGAAAAGGCTTGTGAATTTTTCAAGCAGCTGGCAAAACCTCTCAGCATCGAGTTCATCGAGACAAGCAGACGCGCCTTCGTATAATGGTAATACGTGCGCAGCTAGCTTGATAGAGGATGTGCGAGGACAGATATACGGGAGGGTGTCGTTTATTGGCAACCCAGTGTCGTAGAGGACCGTCACTTTGGCGGCGCCTAGGGGAAACGAGTCAGTTCCGAGATGCAGCAATCCAGCGTTGAAATCGAGCACGCACTTGTGTGCTTTGAGGAAATCGACGCCCAGGATGCACTGCTCCTCGATAGCGGCAACGACAACAGGCAGCGAAGCGTGAAAGCTACCCACGGTGAAGGGTGCAGTTGTGGAGCCTAGTACGGCTACCATGTCTCCCGTTGCGGTTTGCAGAGCATAGCTGTCAGAGCTTTGTGGAACAGCACGATTCGCTTTCATCAAAACTTCCGGTCTAATTACCGAGGTTGTAGCTCCGGTATCAACAAGTGCGCGTACCGAAACTCCGTCGACGACGCCCTGAAGGTAGATAGATGTAAGTGGTGCTGTCAGGACACGTGTTGATGTGATTATCCGCGGCGATGTTGCTGTTGGGTTCCGGCTGCTGGGGTGATACGTGGGACATTGTGCCCGCGTGTGGCCCTGCTGATGGCAGTTCCAGCAAACTGGGGCTGGAGGCGCATGTGTTGCTGTTTTCGGGGCTTGCGGCTGCGTAGGAGGCCTCAGAACCGTAGATCGTGATGCTTGTCGAGCAGCTTCTATCTCCAGCGCGCCTGTGTGTGCTGCTCGGAGGGTCTTGGGGCGTGCTAGGCGAACCGCATCCTGCACCTCAACGGAGGAGATGGCGTCAATGAACGCCATGGTTGCCACAGCGTCAATTGTGTCTTGTGGGCAACCAGGAAATGCAAGATGGGCGAGGCGCTCGATGTCGTCGGCGACTTGAGAAACTGTCTCGGTTGCAGACTGACGACGGTTGCGAAGTTGGGCGTGATGAAGAAAGCGGAGGGGTCCTTCCCCGTAGCGCTCGTTCAGTGCCGCGACCAAGGCTTCGTAGGAATCGCGAGTGTCCCAAGAAGTCTGCGAATTGTTCAACATCAAAAAGACAAGAACGACGCCTCTCCACCCGCAGTCAAACGGTTTAGTCGAGAGGATGAATCGAACGATCCTACAACATCTGTCCATGTTCGTCAGTGATCAGCAAGATGACTGGGATAGCATCGTGCCTTTGTTTTTGTATGCATATCGCACGTCTGCTCATGAGGTCACTGGCTATACGCCTGCCACAATGCTCTTCGGTCATGACCTTCTCATGCCGTGTGATTTAGCCCTTCCACGAGCATCAGAGCCGACCACCAACCCTGCGTCCTACGTAGGTGAACTGAGAACAAACCTCGAGCGGGTGCACGCATTTGCTCGACAGCGTTTGGCGAGCGGCTTGGATCGCATGAAAGCCCGGTACGACGCGCATGTCACAACGCGCCCGTTCTCTCCAGGGGAAAGAGTATGGCTTTACAACCCGATTCGCAAAAAAGGACTGTCTCCGAAATTGCAGCGTAACTGGCAAGGACCTTTCATCGTCATCAAACGTCTCAGTGATGTGGTCTATCGCATACGTCGCAAGGATAGATCACGGGCCCTCGTGGTCCACCGCGACCGGCTGTGTTTGTATCAGGGACTTCTGTAGGACTTGCTCGGTCTTCAAAGGTCGGGAGGGGGATAGTGTAGCGGAAACGCTGAGTGCCGGGTGAACAAAAAACATAAAAGAGAAGCAACCGGCACGCGACGAAGGGAACGCTCGTCGTGCTCGTGCGTGTGCGCGAGGCAGTTGGAAGAGAGCCATCGAAGATGTCGGACCTCTCTGTGCGGTGATTAAACCAGTTAAAAAGGAAAACGGGGAAGGCGTCGGCCCGAACGGATCCCACTTCTGACACCAGTGTTACAATTTCTGCTTTCCTTTTTAACTGGTTTAATCACCGCACAGAGAGGTCCGACATCTTCGATGGCTGTCTTCCAACTGCCTCGCGCACACGCACGAGCACGACGAGCGTTCCCTTCGTCGCGTGCCGGTTGCTTCTCTTTTATGTTTTTTGTTCACCCGGCACTCAGCATTTCCGCTACAATATATATAAATAAAATAAAGTTAGAGATCCGTACTTGCGCAGTTGTTATGCTAGGAGTTTATAATATGTATTACGACAGTTTCAACGAGAGACTCGGCTTCGTCAGGATATATATATATATATTAATTGCTTCAAAACGTAAATTTAGTCACAATTTTATCTCGAATCATTTAAGATGAAATATTCATTTCTTCCTTATTGTGTACTTTTGCTCTCAATTACTTTTTTGTTGAAATTTTGCAGCAGTGATTAAACATACTTAGTGCATGCTAATCGGCAAAAGGATAGTTTCGAAAGTTGGCCTTGCTGCAAGTTTTTTTTTAGGCTGAAAGGGACATTTCAGAGAGTATTTATGGTGTCCAAGGTTTTTATTTCTACATGATACATAAGAAACCGGCCACCGAGAACACAATTTGCGGCTCAAATTCGTTTTCTTTCCGCCCGAAAACTGCCAATCGAGAACTGACCGGTTTGAATCGCGCTCACTCTCTTCTCCGTGGTCACGTGCCGTTTCCTATGATTTAAACACAACCACCAAAAATAATCACAGCTATGGGTCATCGAAGGCAAACCAATCAATACTAAAAACAGACAAAAACTACGATGCCCGATTCTCTGGCTTTTAAAAAGCTGCTGTACATTGTTCTAAAAAAAAAAAAAGGTTGCGCAGCCACGTGACTTACAGAAACTTTCACCTCCTCCATATTTCTTCTTCCTCCCCAGTCCAGTTTTGGTTCCACGTTCGAGCTGTTTCGTATTTTATTTAATAAAAATACATGTGACGCCGCAGGAAAACACTGATTGGGTAGTCTTCGGACTTTATAATGTATCGCCAAATAAAAAATGAAAAAAAAAAAGTTTTGGGCGGTGTCGGTGTCCCTTCAATAATCTAATGTTTGGAAGTCGGACGTTTTCGGGAGGTTAAGGGATGACGGAGTGAGTGAGGTAAAACATGTGCTTATTTTCATCAAAGAATTGCCTGCCTCTGTTAAGTTATTCTGAATAACTGAGGTGATAGGTACCAGACCTTATGTAATCGACCAGTATATTGCCACGCGCGTCATCGAGCGACTGCGCCAGTCGCCGGTCTGCCTGCGCTGTAAGCGAGCCGGGCACATCAGCCGCGTCTGCCGCGTACCAAAGTGCTCGATGTGCTCCTGCTTCGGCCACGAGAAGGAGGGGTGAGCGAAGACCTACGCCCGAGAAACCGGCGGAGCGGCGGCGGAAGACCTTTCGCCCCAAACCACGGCTGTCAACGAGGCTGGGCGATCCGCTCAGGGACAGCAAGACGAATCTCCACCGACGGGTGAGCCCTGTCATCATGTTGGAGCGTACGGCTCAATTGAAGTCTCAGCCGGAGACGGCAAGGAATAGGTGGCTGGTGGTATCCCTAAACTAGGCAGCGCGGCACGCCAGTCGAGACAAAAGTCGCGCCTCGTGAGGCCTCTTCCCCGGCATCCGAGAAGGCGCCCTCCGAACGTCACATCATCAACGCGGTCGCCGAGTCCATCAAGCGTGGCCTTGACGAGAACCCTCCATCGACGCCGGGCATGACACCCAGGCCCAACCCGGGGATGGAGAGGACGAAGAAGGGACGTTTCCAGCCCACGCTTACCTTCACCCAAAATGACCGGAGGTGACTCAACCGCAAGTAAGGCGGCTGACACCTTCTTACAAAAACTGACGTCCGAACGCCGTGGCAAGCGCTGCAGTGAGACAGATGACTTGTAAGTTCCAACCAGCAATAATGGTCGCATCGCTAAATGTTCGAGGTTTAAGCGCCAGGAAAAAAACAAAAACAATACCAATTGCAGCGCTTGATGCTCAAAGAGAAACCCGAAATCTTAGCGGTGCAAGAGACAAAAATGGCTGAGGAGGAACAGGCTGATAGTGCGCTTGGACCTCTTCTGCAGTCGTAGGAAGCTTGTGTTACCCACGAAGTTGGTCTTTATGCCGGATCTTTTCTTTTTCTTAGAAGGTACCTTCTAAGAAAAAGAAAACTCCGACAACGGCAGGGACGTCGCCGCCCTCGTCGCAGTTAAGGCCCGTTCACACTCTTGCACCCGAGTACGACCGAGATAGACGGCAGCGGTTGGAACCTCTTAAAATTTCTTAGGACGAGAGAACACACTGGTGCTCTGGCGCCATCTATGCGGTTACCCTGAAACTGAATTCCACAAAAGCGAAGGTTTCTTTGGGGGATTTCCGAGGTCAAATACGCATAATACCTAGAAAAAAGGCTCGTTTATAACATTGACAAAAGTTTTTCAAGCTAAAGTAGAAAGGATAATGCGCGAGAAAAATAGAAATTATGCCGGACCACCAAGTTTACACTGCTACCCAATAGATGACGCCAGTGGGTCCTCTTGTTTAGAATTCCTGTACAGGCTCCCTACGGGAGCCAGAGTTGCGCGTTCACCCCTGAAGCGCCGGCTTTTCTGCATGGCATGCTGAGTCAGCTCCTCACGTGACTGAATTCTGCGAATAGCGGCGCCGCGCGTTCGAGGCGCGCGGCGCGCTCAAAACGACGAGGTAGAGGGGCTTAGAGCGATAAACCGGGGTTCCGGTCTGCACTCGGAAGTGACCCCCATAAGGCGGCTGCCATTGTACGCCAATTTGACCACTCGTCACATGATCAAAACGAATACGTGACGTCACAGGAAAGATGGCAGCGCCATGCAGCGGCTGGCCTCAGCTGGGCCTGAGCTTGTCGGATGCTTTGTTGGTTGTCGTTCGTCTCGGCGAGTTATATCGTAAAATTGTTAATAAGTGCCAAACGCAAAGGTCGCAGCAGCTTTCTCGCTAAAAGTTGCTGTGATTATGCAGTTACCTAGGGCTGAAACGAATTCCCCTAGGCCCTACATCCGACGCATACATTTCGTGTCGATTCTCAGACATTCCAACGTTCAAACAAAGCTAAGAGAATGCGAAAGTTTTATGTTAAAAGCACTCAAAGTTTTATCGATCCTCGAACAGATCCCGAATCCGAGCACCGGTACGGCGATACGGTGATGCTGCCTCACCGGTGTTAATATCCAGATGATCCACTGCGATATTGCGCAAAAAGGGTATAAAGTCTCATTCCTTCATATTTTCACATATACCTGCGTCAGCGAACACGAAAAAGCCCGAAGTCGTCGGAAAGCAGCTGCACATCATGGCTACCGCGCACCGAACAAACTCGCATCCGCCAGCTCCGGGCGCTGCCATCTTACCTGTGACGTCACGGCTCTTGGGAGTTCACGTGACGAGTGTTCACATTTGCGTAAAACATGGCGGCAACGGGGGGGGGTGCCACTTCCGAACTTCCGGTTTATCGCTCTAAGCCCCTCTACGGTCTACCTGGTTCGCTCAAAACCAGGGGAACGTACGCCGGGGCGCGCGCGACATCTTCTTTCCTGCACCACACTTGATCCGGCTCCTCACGTGATCGGATCTCGGCGAATAGCGGCGCGGCGGTACGTGGAAAACAGACGCGCAGCCTATACACTCTAAAACCGGTCCCTCATAAAAAACGCTGTCCCTCTGATTTTAGAGGGGACAACAATGCTTTCAGGGGGACAGCCCTTTTTAAGAGGGATATTGAAAAATAAAATAGCAACATCTAGAGGGACACCAACATATTAAGAGAGACCAAGGAAACCGTTTCGTTAGTCCCTCTGAACAGGAAAGACAGACAAAAAGATTCACGCGTGTCCCTTCATATTAAGAGGGGACCGGTCCCTCTTAACTGGACCAATGTAGTTCGGTCAGGAGGAGGGGGGCAGGCGCACTAATCCACGGTGCTAAGGCTTCGCGCCAATTCACGGAGAGCTGGAAACGGTCGTTGCCGGAGAGTCGCAAGCGTCATGCTGCTCGTTTGATTTCCTTCGGGTGAGTAATCCTGCCATATTGACGCTTTTGTTTTGGGTGCATTGCGGGTGGGAATAACGAGCCATCAATATTTTCACGCTGGCTGTGAGATGCACGAGCTTTGCATGTAGAGTGAGGGTGTTCAGCTGTAGTCCGCGGACGCGGTCGCTTCCTGGATCTGCTCGTTCAGTTAGGACAAAGCGTCGCTAATCGTTTGCCCTGCCGTGAGCCGCAGGGCTGTCTTTCGCACAAAACACTTTTAGCGGGTTAGGGTGTCCCAATGTGTACGCGTCTGTCTTAAGCTGGTGATATCAGACCATTTTCTGTCCGACGCTTTTGTCTACTTTTCAATTTCGAACGCGCGATCGTTCTTCTCCCAGCTCGAGCTGCTAACTTTGGCAGTGCTACGCCGGCATTTTATTGCCGGCAATTTCCTGGTATTTTATCCGTGAGCGTACACTGTAGGCATCGAGTACTACAAAGGATGGCATCACCCTCCCTAAGGCAAAGCCAACATAAAGGCACCCTAGCTGGGGCTGTCAGTGTTTGTGAGCTTGGCTCGCCGATTTGTTTCTCGGTGTGCACTCTAGATGCTTGAGGTTGACCGCCCGAGAGCGTTGATTGACAGAAACAATGTTGGCGATTTTGCGTTTGTTTGCCTTCACAATTCATTACAGCAATTTACACTGCAACGTTATGTTGTAGACATCGTTAGCGTTGCAGTGATTATGAACATTTTTTTCTCAAGTGGGCGACGAGTAAAAACCCATAATGTGTGTGTATGTTTGTGAAAAGGGCAGGGGGATTGGACGAGCAGAAACAAAAAGAAGAAATAAAGGTTTTTTTTTTTCTTCGCGTGTTCGCGTTGCGTCGGCGTCTGCGGGAAGGGTGTAGCGGCGGCCAGGGAGTACATTTTTTTTTCTTTTGTATTTCTTTGGCGTACTGTTTTGTTCGTTATATTTTGACGGTCGTGCAGGCACAGCTACCGGCTTTTTTTTTTTTTTTTTTTTGGCGCCGACTATGTTTTTGTTTTTGGAGATTTTATTTATGATGTTTATTATGCTCTTTGTTTTCTGTAGCTGGCTGAATATTTTTTTTTTTCTGTGTCGTGCATCCGCGAAAAATATGTAAACAGAAGTTTGCTTTTTTTTTCTTCTTTTCTTTCTTATGCGCTTTAGGGCTAGTGCGTTGACTGTGGGCGTTAAATGACTGACCGTTATTAACAATCTTGTTTTCAGAGTGAGGCAATGGCAACGAACGTTGACATGAAGGGAATCAGGCGGGGGTTCCGCTCGGATTGCTCGTGTAAAGAGCTCTACCGGGACCCTCTGCACGGTGGAACGCACCACCCTGAGTGGTGAGCCTACTGCGGCCACCCGCACACGGTTCACAACGAACTCGGTAATTATTAACTTTTTGTATTCCGGTATGTAGGTAGGCTCTATTTACGTTCTGTTGGCAAATGCACTGCTACTGAAAAAAATAAAAAAATAAAAAATGAATGGCTTGCGGCGAAATATTTACAGAAATGTAATTTTTTATTTGATTACCGTATTTACTCGCATATTGGTCGATACGTCGTATAGGTCGACCCCCTAACTTCGGGACCCCCGAAAAAAAAAAAAAGTTGAAAAATATAATACCGGGATTCGCGTATTGGTCGACCCCCCAGTTTTGATGAGGCGATTTTTGAAAAACAGGTCGACCTATACGCGAGTAAATACGGTATGTTGCTTTCTAAAACATGCGCTAGATCACTTCTGCAGCTTCGAGCCGCAAATGCAATCCATGCTTTCCAAAGCACATGGGGCTTCTAAAGTTCATCTACTACTAAATGCGTTTTCGTTTTGTCTTGGTAATACAGAAACAATTGATTCTCGTAAATTAATTAAAACTGCAGTCTATTCTCGTACCAAAAATTAATAGTAGCATAAGTTGCGTCATAAGCTAATGTCACTCGCTATTTCATCGCATACAGATTGGGTTCCGAATCTTTGAACTGTTTGCACTTTATTTTCGCATTTGTTTCCTATCGCCTGCTTGATAACAGGTGAAAGCGCGTGATTACCTTTATTCTAATTCCCACCCTCTGTATCTAAAGGAAAACAATATGGTCTTTCATTCAGCTAAAGGTGGATGCACAACTTCGGTTCCATAACACGATTGTCACCATGCTGGGAAACCTGGAGGAGGTAAAAGGGGCCTTCTGCGGAGACAACCCAACAACATCCTTGAACATTAAGACCATCCTCCGGTCTCGATTGGCCAGTTCTTTCATCACCTATGGTATGTGAAAAAGCGAATGCAAAAATAGAAATCTAAATTTGACGCTGACGCAAGTTTTTTTTTTTTTTTTTTTTTTTTTTAAGAATTGCTGCTTGCAGGACGATTTTACCCCTGACGAAAAAGTTCCAAGACCCAAGACTTTCTTCGGTTCGGAGAAAGGGATCGTTTCTTGGAACTGGTCAGTGAAACTCACCGCTAGCACGACTATGGAGGGGGCACTAGTCATGTGCTTATGGGTGTATTACATAACGGGACTCTCCTACCCCGTGGCATGTGGACAAACCCTTGGACTCCTCTAGGGTCTGCTCGTTGAAAATAAAGTGTTTCGATTTAGTTTATGTCGGAGAAGCTCATAAAATCGCTTATGGCCGTTCAAAAACAACAGAAATTCTGAGGTTCTGCTGATGGCAAGAGACGCCGAATAATTAGTTTTTAATGCTATGAAGTAGGTAACTACGCTCTAAAAAAAAGCACAGGAAACTACTTTCCCGAGCCAGCACTTGGAAAGTCAATCACCGTAACTCACGGAAGCAGCTCAGCGAATCACGATGCCGAAACATAAGATTAGACCAAAAAAGCCAGTCCGAGT